GGAGCTGCGCCAATAAGCTAACTTAAGAAAAGAAGAGCTGCCATCGATACAATTGTAGCCAGGCATGTTACACAATACAGTTTTAGCAAGTTGCTCAAAGTCTAAACGTGTCTTGTTGTGCATTTAAGGTGTAAAGTTTACCTTTGAGCAAACGCCCCCAGAGGAATCCCATCACCCCACTTTTGTAAAAAATTCCACCAGCGCCCCCTGCCATCCTCTGAACGCCCCAAGGGAGGCGGTACCGCCCCCGTTGAGAAATGCTGCACTAGACTTTCAATTGACAGGCTTGGACACCAGAGACTTGTGGTCCAGGGAGGCAGGTGAGGCAGAGAAAAATAATATATAGTTGTTACGTCCACCAAGGGCACAACATATTTGAGGACACGAGACAAGAATGAAAGTTCAACAAAATATTTTATTCTTAAACTCTCTTGAACTTTAGTTTTTATTTTGTTCAGCTGCTTCGGATTTTCTGTGAAGAAAAAGAGAGTTAAATGCCCTCAGTTTCCCGTGTCCCAAAAAAAGAAAAACAAAACCCCTAAAGTATTAATAGAAAGTTGGACCTGGTGAGCCGATCAAACAGAACAAAATGGTACAGCATGGGGCCAACCCTATACAGGGCCGTCGAAGCCCCTTCTAGTACTGGACTAAAGCAAAAAAGAACCTAATACAAAAGAAAGATCGAAACCAGGACAACCAATCCCACCAGGCCAAAATCACAACGAAAAAGCAAACAAACAAAGCCAACAGAAATACCGCATGGCAAGGCTGGAAACGTCAGCTGCGGCCCACAGCGACTGGACGTGCGCGCACCGCGTCAAGACGCGTCCCCGGTGGTGGTGGAGCGAGCGGAAGCGAGTGGAAGGGCGGAGATCCAACATGCCGAAACCCAGCCTATTTATAGGCGGACTAACAGCGCCACAAATTAACGTAATCAAATGACCAAAAATAAGAAATTATCCAAACTCCAAAATATATTAACAAAAGGTCATTCTTTATTTTCTATAAGAAAATAAAGGAAAAAATAGACAAAAATCATCATAATGTGCCCGAAGCACATAATAGTGATAAGATAATTAGGTCCGAGCAGCTAAGTGCTGTGAAGGCCTATTGTAATCATAGTGCCGATTATTATTCTGATTCCGCTTCCGTCAAATGAATTGGCTTTTGGAGGCTTTTTTTTTTTTTTTTGCACATTTTTATTGACAGTTTTTCCATACAAGTGTACATACAGACTATTTTCTTTTTCCAAATGTTCCATACATATCATTCAAGAAAAGCTGCACATACAATCTGTACCTGCCTTAGACAGTAACTTTGCTAGTCTAGATAATATCCAATCTATCAATTCACTTGTTGATTAACAAAAGAAAAAGAAAGGAAAGAAAAAAAGTCAACAAAAAGATCATCCAAAATTTTTTTTTCTTTTTCTCTGTTCTTCTCTTCCGAGTCATCACAATTTTAACTCTCTTCTCATCGAAGGCGAACTGTAAGCAAACTATTTACAGTCTGTAGCTCTATAAGGGTTCCTGTAACCACACTATTAATCAATAAAGTCTGATCTCCATGGTGAAATAAATCCCTGCCAATTTTTCCTATAATTCTTAAATTTTCCAGAAAGTCAGCCTTTCCATAATATAAATATTATATTGCATTACGTCAACCCAATCTTCCCTTTTAGGAGCTTCTGCCTTCAGCCATTTCCTAGTAATGGCTTTTTTGCTTGCTACCAACATAATCCCATACATATATCTATCACCTTGTGAACCTTTCCGACCCTCTTCCCATGTACAGAACATGAAATGTAAGTGGAATATTCACCCCCAGTACCTTATCCATACCAGTCTTTACGTCCTGCCAATAGGGTACCATGAAGGCACAATTCCACAATACATGGAAGTGACCCGCTCTGTCTTTTCCGCACTGCCTCCAGCATTTTGTATCTTGGTGTTTTCTTTGTGCTGGCGTACTGAAATATCTTACAATATTCTTCCAGCCAAACTCTCCACGAAAGGGAACAAGATGTTTTCCACTGTTGCCCACATATCTCCTCCCAGTTCTCCTGCGAAAGCCCACAATTGGCATCTTTTTCCCATCTTACTTTTATGTATGTTGTATTACTTTTCTTCAAATTTTCCAATCCTGTATACAGTTTTGGAATTATTTTCTTCCCCAAGTTTGATTCATTTGCTGAAATAAACATCTTAATTATACCAGATTCAAACTCATTTAAATTTATCCTTCTTAGTAGTTCCTCTGTATAGTGCCTCAAATGTAAGTACCTGTAGAGATCCTTGTTGTTTAACCCTTCTAGACCGGAACGTGTCGGCAGCGACACATCTAAATTTGCAGTACCGTAATTCCGCCACACATAGCGCTATCTGAAAAATTCCAACGGTTTCTGAAAGGGGAGACGTTGCAATTTCCAGCAAATATGGGGTTAATATGGTAACTTCACAGCCGCAGCTGCAGAGATAGACGGTATATTGCAAAAATAACTTGCTGGATATTGAAAGTTCCAGTTGTTATCGATATCATCTCACAGGACATTTAAAGAACTACTTACAATTAAAATAGGGAAGATTTATTTAGGCAGACGCTTGAAACTTTGGCGTAAAAGGGTTAATTCATATTTATTCTTTATTTCTTCAAAGCTTTGTATAGTATTTTTCTTAACCATCTCCCAGAATATCTTTGGACCCTTTTCCCATTTACTAAATGTTTTGTCTGTTACATTAGGTTTAAAATCTGAGTCATGCGTTATCTACCTTAGTAGTCTACTCTGCTCTGTCTACCCATATCTTAAAATAATTTCATTCCATATGTCAAGAGATAATCCTAGCCATAGATTCGACTCCTCCCTAAGGTGTTTTCTCAATTTGTTATCATTTATTATGGCTTTTAGAGGTATTGTGGGTGACATAGCACATTCTATATCTTTCCATTTTGCAGTGTATAATGGATTGCTTATGTTCAGTAGAGTACTCAACTGTGCTGCAAAATAGTAGCTCTTCAGACAGGGTAAGGCTAACCCCCCTTTATCCTTTGATACCTGCAAAGTTCTGAATCTGACCCGTAGTTTTCTTCCTTGCCAAATGAATCTCGATATGATTTTATCCCATTCTGCAAAATCTTTATCTGTCACCTCAACTGGGAGAGATGTAAATAAATACAGTAACCTTGGTAACACATTTATTTTAATAATTTCTACTCTTGACGCTAAGCTTGTAAAGGGGATTAAACTCCACCTTCCCATATCTGACTGTATTTTCCTCCCCAAGGGGCTAAAGTTTAAAGATTTTAGTTCAGATAAGTCATGGGACAGAAACACTCCGAGGTATTTCAGAGATTTTGACTGCCAATCCCAACTAAATGTATTTTTAATGAATAGATCTGGTGAATAGTTGAAAGAGAGAACTTGGGTCTTCTTCGTGTTTAATTTGTAGCCTGACATCAGCCCAAATTCATCCATTTATATTGATTAGTGCTGAAAGTGACTTGCCTGGTTGAGTTAGGTAAATCAAAACATCATCTGCAAATAATGCTATCTTTTGTTCCCCTCCTTCCATACGTATACCCTTTATATTTCCGTTTTGTTTTATCCATTGGCTTAAAGGTTCTAAATATATCGCAAATAACAGTGGGCTAATGGAGCAGCCTTGGCGGCATCCTCGATGTAATCTAAATGTATCTGAAAGGCTCCCATTAATTTTGATCCTAGCTGTGGGTTGGCAATATAATGATGGAATAGTTTTGATAAATGTTTTGTTAAAACCGAATTGTTCTACCACCTTATATAGGAAGTTCCACCTGACTCAAAAGCTTTTTCTGCGTCCAATCCCAATATTACCGCTTCTGTTCTTGTTTTAATAATCTTTTGCATTACCAGCAATGTGTGCCTAATCTGTCTTTTCTTTATAAATCCTGTTTGGTCGAAATCAATTATGTCCGGCAGAATTACGTCTAGCCGTCTAGCCATGACTGCTGTAAATAGTCTATAGTCTAAATTTAGGACGTTAACTGGTCTATAGTTGGCACAATCTAATTGATCTTTTCCTTCCTTTGGAATAACCGCAATAAAAGCTTCCCTCCAGGACCTTGGTGTCTCTCCCTCTTTTAAGACCCAACTGAACATATTTTTTAACAAGGGGATCAATGGTTTTCTTAGCAATTTATAAAATTCAGACGAGTAACCATCCGACCCCGGAGCCTTGTTGGTTTTCAATCTTGAAATTTCTGAGTCTATTTCTTCTCCTGTAATCTCCTTTGTTAATATACGATTTTGATCTTCTGTTATTCTTGGTAAATTCAAAGATTCCAATAATGCATGTATTTGATTATCATTATTAATTTCTACTTGAGAATATAATATTTTATAACAGTTTTCAAAACAATTTTGAATCTCTTCTGTCTTAATGTTTTCAAAATCAGGGACTCCTCTAATTTGATCAAATGATCAAATTAGAGGATCATTTGATCAAAAAACAGCTAAGAAAAAACAGGGTAAACTTAGACAGTTACAATTGGAATTAAAATAATTCCAACTGTATTATTGGAATTATTTTAATTCCAATAATACATCATTATTATTATGATCATCAAATGATCATCAAATTATGATCATTTGATTTAAATGATCAAATTAGAGGAGTCCCTGATTTTGAAAACATTATTTACCACTTGCTTTTTCATTCTAAGTTAGCAATTTAGCTGATTTACCTCCTCCTTCATAATACCTTTGTTTTGTGTACAGAAGGTTTTTTTTAATCTCATCTTTCAAAATGCAGTTCATCTCTCTTTGTATTCTTTTAATTTCTTGAGGGTTTTTTTCATCCAGAGAGAAATTTTTGTGTTGCTTTTCTAATTATTTTAATTCCAATTGTAACTGTCTAAGTTTACCCTGTTTTTTCTTAGCTTCGAGGGAAGCTAATTTGGCAATTAGCTTCCCTCGAATTACTGCTTTCCATGGATCCCACAGCGTAGCTGCGGATACCGCCCCATTATTATTTTCCTTTACATATATATCAATTTCTTTCGCAAGTTCTTTCTTCATATTCCCCTGTAATAAGCCTGCATTTAGTCTCCACATTGTTGTTTTTGTTTCCTTTGACAATCCCAGGGTGATATATACTGGACTATGATCTGATACATCCCTTACTCACAATTTTCCACTCTATAATGTGTATAATAAGGATTTATTATACACATTATAGTAAGGTCGATTCTTGAATAAACTGAGTGAGGCGGTGAAAAATATGTGTAGTTTCTGCCTGATGGATTTAGCTCCCTCCAGACATCCATTATTCCCAGCACTGCCATTTTCTTTAAATTTTTTGCTAATTATAGATTTTTGCTTCCCGCCATCCGAACAATCAAGTTGTGGGTTCAATCTGAGGTTTAAATCTCCTCCACATATCAGAATGCCTTCTCCCTCAGCTGTCATTAAATCAAACATCTTTCTATAAACATGTATGCCCCCCCTGGGGGGGGGGCATACATGTTCAGGATAGTGACCAGTTCTCCTTCTAATCTCCCCTTAATCAGCACGTATCTCCCTTCTTTGTCTATTGTTTCTGAAAGTTTTTCAAATATAGATCTTCCTGATCTATATTGTGACTCCTCTCCTACGCCCTGAATCTATAAAATGAGTAAAATACTTGACTAAAACTATTTCTCTTTAGTTTCTCATGTTCCTTCTCTGTCAGGTGCGTCTCCTGCGGCAGTGCCACTCCCTCCCTTCTCAATTTTCCTAATACTTTAGACCTTTTAACTGGGTTGAGCATCCTGTTCACATTAAAAGAGGCCAACTTTAATACCTTTTTCTGTGTTGTCATTTACTCCTTGTGACTCCTTATTTTCCACCTTCTCTACACCTTTGGACCCTTAGGCTACAGATAAACAAAGTAATAATGAACATACAACTGAACAGTTTTAGAACGTTCACTGATGAATAAGTGACTAACCAAAGAACTTCCAAGAGTAGGGTCTGCACTTTGACCCTTTGTAAGCCATGATGGAAAATCTGCCCAAAGGCATGTCCTCTCCCTGCCAGAGGGAGTGGGCCCTTCTTGTTGAAGTTAGCTTCATTCATGTTTGCACCACCGCTCCAATGTCCCCCCCACAAAAAAAGGGGGGGATACCCCAACCCTAATGAAAAAAAAAACTCCCTCAGGAAATAATTAGTAAAATAAAAAAAAATAATTCTGTTAGCTTGACCTGAGTCATCATTCCTTAAGCCCCGGTTTTTCCCTTCAGACTTGAATAGACCCATCCAAAAAACAAACTAAAGATCTTAAATACCTCATTTTAAAGGGCAGTGGTTCTTAAATCTCATCCTGACTTCTCCTAAAACATTGGAACCGTTGTTTGTATCTTTCGATTATCTCTCTCTGTGTCTGTCCTCCTTTCTTGGCCCCGATGGTCTTCCAAGTTAGGCGTCTGATCTTCTCCAAGCTGGTCACCGCCGGTCTGGTCTCCGCCACCTGCAGCCCTCGTTCCGCCATGTCTTTGGTCGCCTCCTCAACCGTGTTGTAGATCCATGTCTCTCCCTCGTTGAAAACACGCAGTCTCGCCGGGAATGGCGTCTGGAACCGTATTTTCTTCTCCCGCAGGACTCTTTTCGCCTCTGTGTATTCCTTTTGTTTCTTCAGCACTTCCGGGGCATAGTCATGGTCCAGAAAAACTTTCTTCCCCTTGTTCATGAATCCTTTCTTCTGCCATGCCTTCTTTAAAATCTCCTCTTTCACCCTGAAGCTCATAAACTTTACCACTATCGATCTCGGTGGTGATTCCGGGGAGGGACGCGGCAGAGCCCGATGGGCTCTCTCTATCTGGAAGGGAAAAGACGGCGGCAGCTCCAGTTTCTCTCTCAGAAGTTTCTCGTCATCGAACCGGCGCCGTCCTCTGCTCCCTCCTTGAGTACATTCAAGAATCTGTACATTCTCCCTCCTTGAACGTCCCTCTTGATCCACAAGCCGTGTTTCGAACTGTTTCTGTAGCTCCAGGAGCTCCATTGTAGCTTCCTCAATGTGCTGCAAACGCTCCTCCGCTTCTTCTATCCGGTTCTCTGCTTCATCAATACGGCTTTTGGCTATTTTAATCCTCTCCTTAATTCCTTTTGGAGCGTCAGAGTTTTCTTTACGGAAGTCTCGCAGTTCCTGGAGAATTGTTTCCAAATTTGCCATGTTAAAGTCGGAACAGACCTCTGCGGTTTGAGTCTTTACGTTCAGCTCTGGGTCCTCTGTTGTTTCTTTAACTGAGTCAGCTAGCTTCAAAGCTAACGTTTCGTTACCGTCGACCTCTGTCGTCGAACTCGGGTTTTTGAGACTTTCTGCCGTATTTCCCACTAGTCATAGTAAATGCCCCTTTTTAAATATTATCTTTCGGACTTTTCGTTGAAAAATTATCAAATTAATCGGGCTTACAAAGATCTGGGTCGAGGAGCTCGCCTTTTAAGCTGCAGCCATGATGGTGTTCCTGGAAGTTCTCCGGCGTTTGCTCTACAGCGCCCCCTAACATGAGATAGGAGAAACCGTAGGTCGTAGATATCTGAAACTCGGTACCTAGGTAGAATCCCCCAAGTCAAGAAAAAAAGTCTCTTGGAAGTACCCCCTAAAATGCACAGTTAGGTGGCCATTTTGGGTCAAATTACAAGTTGGGAGTCAACTCAGCAAGAACCCTACTATCACATTTCAGCCAAAAAAAGTATTCTACTTTCATTATCACTTTGAGGAAAACTTTCAGTAATAAAACGAATGAAATAATGCCTCCAAAAGGATCCAACAACGAGATTAGACCGGATGAACAGTTTGTATCGCTCACGCAAGTTAAAGAGTTAATGACCCAGTAGAAGGAAATGTACACGGAGTTGCTTCAACAAAAACAGGACCATTTCAAAGGCTTTGTTAAAGTTATTATGGACACTACAAACACCAGACTGGACGAGCTGATACAAGAAGTGCAGGACATTAAAACCAGCCAGCAATTTATACAGAAAGATGTGGATGTCTGCATGTGCAGCTGACCTCCTCTTTCCTTCACACTGTGCAAGTGCGCAGCAACAAATCCTAAGCGATGTGGTGAGGAACTATAACGCTCTGAGAGTAAATGGGGAAGTTTACGTGTTCCGCCGAAGAAATACCTCGGGGGTGAAGCATGTCAAAATACATCAACGCAAGGAATCTAAAAAGACATTTAAAAAACAAACACTTGACAGAGTTTGGCTACATCGAGGCTCACTGCAGTGGTCTGGAGCGATCAAATAGCAGGTAAAGCAGCGCACAACTACCAACACTCACCCGGAAGACCATAGTGGTCTGAAAGTTTAACAAAATAACCCGATACTTTAAGTCAACGAGCTGGCAGTGTAAGATACTGGTTCTGCTCCTGCTGTTGGACCACCGCTGAGCGCTACTGGTCGTGATATTTCACAAACGGAGCTTCGCTTCTGCTCCACCCGCAGTGAACTCTCACACTGAACGTCTGCTTAAAGCTGCAGCAGGTAACTTAAACAAAAAAAAAGATTTTACATATGTATTAAAACGTTTGCTATGTAAGATAGATAATCTCGGAAAAAATAATCGACGCCTCCTCCCTGTGTTTTGCAGAATTACTCCGCTCAGTCAGAAACAACCAATCAGAAATGCATTTATCAGCTAGCCATGCTCTCAGGAAGTTTTGATTTAGTAACTTGGGATTGTTTATTTTTGATGCAACCTGCATTTGACTTTGAATGAATATTTCTTTTTTCTCGACATTATTTTAGATAGGCAGTGTTATGAAAATTTCGACTCATGTATAATTTAAAATGTTGAGAAACTTACTGTTAAATATTGTTTTACTGATTGCAGGTTTTACGGATTGCAGGTTTTTCAGTTGTCCTATTGACTGAACAGCTGCTGTATTGTGCCTGCAAGTATTAAGTCTAAATTAGGTGAATTTATTGCCAGATCATTTTTCCATTTTGTCAGATCATATAGCAGCATTTATACCTAAAGTGAAAAATTAACAGTGAGTACTGAAGGTACTGTCCCCATTTTTAGGACAAATGTATAACATTTACTATGTCACTTCTGAATTAGTTTAAAGCACCTATTCATGTAGATGTCCAGGAATTGAGCATTTATACTCAAGTTATGGAACAGTTTTTAAAAAGGGGATTACCTGCGATAGATCATAAGCTGTGATTCCATCTCTCTGATGAACCTCTAACTCTGCCTGCTGCTGTTGCAGTTGCCTGAAAAAGCCAAGAGACACAGTCAGCTTCTCATACAACATCCCAAACATCTGCGAGAGTTCATACTTGAAACAATGCTTATAAACCGTTGGTTTAATGTTGTATGTGTTGCTGTAATGTGTTACAGGTCATACCTCAATAAACTAACACGTAACTTCTTCATGCATGATTCAGATGAGAGACACCAAGACTGAATCTCTTCAGGAAATAAACTATTGCTCATCCCAACTGCACGAGTAGAGAGCAGCTAGACACCCATGACTAATTTTCTAGGCACTTTATATAACAGAAGACTTTGTTAAAACCAGTGAAACATCTTTAAGAGCAGGGAGTGAACATTTTCACATAATACACAAATACATATTATTGTATCTGAAAAAATTATGTCATAGTCCAACCTGGAGAAGGCCTTTTCTTTTTGTCACTATTTTAGTATCTATTTTAGTATCAGCTTCACAAAATGAAACATTTGGCTCTGGGACAGAGGGTTCGGAAAGAGGAGCTTGCCCAACCTGCCACCAATCCTAATGAGAGATTTGATTTTTCTTCGATAAAGTTCTTGTTTAGTGATTTCAGAATTAAGAGATTCAGACTTTTAGTAGAGTTTAAATGAAAGTAATAAACAGAATGTAAAATAACTTACTTGACGTTGGTATTGGTGCAGATTATGTACTCTATCTCGTCAGAGTATGGGTTCTGGAAGGTGAAACTACTGGTTCTGATCAGCATCCACTCTCTGTTTTTCAATCGGAAACGATACATGACAGACAGCACCTGTCCCTTCAGTTTCACTACCTGCAGAGGAGCAAACACACTTAAGTGCAGATTTGTTTAATTTACTGACTAAAGAAACATATCATTTGACACAGTCTTTGATCTCAGTCTTTTGATGACTCTTGCCATTTTCTACCATCACACACTAGGAATAAGAACATCTCACATTATTTTGTATTTTACCAATGGTAAAATACACACTGATCTGACCATTATTTTTTCCTATTAACATATTAATAATTAGATAGCAAAAGGTGCTTAATGTAAGTTTTCTTTGCATAATTTGAACCCAGTGAACCTAAAACTGCCACTTGAGACGTTTTAGGTAGAACATATTTACAAAGAGGCAAATGTTAAATGCAATATTTTAAAGTTTTGGCTTAATAACTGCTCTGAATATGTTCTTTCAGAAAAATGCCTTTTTTGAGTCCGCATACTCCAGTTAATTATTTGAATACTAAATTAATGGACAATTACTTCAGTAATAAATTCCTTACATTTAATCTCAATTGTTTCAGCCCTACTATCTTTGTACACATCCTCACATATTTTTCGGTCACCTCTGACTTCCTCATTCAGTTAACACACATCTTAATAAATTTTAATTACTCCCTAACATTGATTTATATTACTGTATCTGACACAAGAGTGCTGGGTAACACTTTATTTGACGGGGTGTGAATAAGACTGTCATAACACCGTCATAAACATGACATAACACCTGTCATGAACATGAGGAAGTCTTCATCACACTCTATGACTGTTGTAAATCAGTCAGTATCGGTAAATCATGACACTCTTAATATAAAGTTGACATTATTCAAAAAGTCTTCGTTATGACAACTTGACATTACTCTAGACAAAAATGTGTTCGTTATGACAACTTGTCATTAACCTAGACAAAATTGTCTTCGTTATGACAACTTAACATTAACCTAAACAAAAATTAATTCATTCTGACAACTTGACATTAACCAAGAAATCATGATCTGACGTAAATTTGTTATAAAAGTATTACCGATTAAACTTTCAAAATTATGTAGCTTTATGTGGTAATATTTTATTGCTCTGCCATTTTGCTTAGTCTTAAATTTCTTAATTTAATTGATCCTAAAGTTTTACAACAAGATGTCTACAAAGCACTTATGAACTTTGCATGTGAAACATTATTTAAGGCTGTTTTAAGTAGTGTAATGCACCATCTCCACCAGTGAGAGGCAGCAGCGCATGGACAGGCGTGCAGTGTGTTGGTGAAGAAGAAATCTTTCAACTTGTGAGAGAAGTGCCTTGCTGCAGCAAACAGAAAGGGGCAGGGACGGACCACTGTCAGCCTCTTACCTTATTTGGAAATGGGATCATTGCACTCCGGAAGTGAAGGGGGCGCTATTTCCTATATTATCCGCGGTCTCCCGTTTTAATTTTCTTTTGAAATCTGTGGTTTAACTTTATCTTTAGGAAGGAGTTTCTCTCTCAGCATGTATTTGAACTTCTCTCTTTTATTTACTTAAGTGCAGCTCACAGTTTTTAACAATTTCTGTTGCTTTCGGTGTACTTCTAAATCTGCTGCTTTTTCGCATCTTTTCGGGCCTGCTACTGCCTCTAGTGGCCTGGGTGTGGTAGCACAACTAATATAAATACATTACTAAATCAGAATACCAAAGTCTTTATTATTTATTATTAATTCTGGCATTACTGGAACCTCAAAAGATAAAGTCCCTCACAAAACACCATACCTTTTAATTTTCTTAAGGAAGCAGAGCTAATTAAATGACCTAAACAATACCTGAAAGTGGTTCCCGTTTCACTTCATGGCCAACCTGTTGAAACTATGGCAAGTTTTAAATACCTTGGATCATTCCTGGACAGTCAGCTCAATTTTGCTGAAAACACTGGCTACATTTTTAAGAAACGTCTCTATCTTTTAAGAAGACCCAGTGATCTTGGGGTTACCTAACAAGTGCAACTCGTGCAAAACCTCTAGTTAGTTAGAGGTAACATTAGCTAACATTACCTCTAGTTAAGTAATGTTAGCATTTTAACAAGTTAAAATGTTAAAACTTAAAAATTTAACTTAAGTTTTAAGTCATCTCAAGTTTTAACTGTTGAGGGCTTTAGCTTTTTTTTCATCTCCTCGGCTGGTTTGGTCACATGAGCTGCAGACTAACAGACAATCTTTTAAGAATACTTGGAAAAATAGAAGGTAAATAGTGGTGAAACCAATAACAACTCTGTCTAAACTGTTTAGAGCATCCATCCTTTTTTTTCGTCAGTTTGAGCTCATGAAGGCATTATTGGTCTATTAGAACATCTATTAGAAGTCATTCATTGACAGTGCAATAATTATTCTTAGCCAAACTAAATGATAACATTTACCTGTAGCATGTTAAGTGTTTACTTGATGCACAAATTGTTGATATTATGATTCTATTCATTAGTTTTATTTTATTGTTTTAGAGTCAAAGAAAAATTTCCACCTTGGAAGACTATATAGTTTAATCATATTTTTTCCTATATATAGGAAAAAAATATGTTGTTCCTACCAACAAAACAAAAATGTGGATTATTGCTTGTTTAACAATCCTGGTTATTTGTCTGTGAACCTAATTAATTTGTTTGTTATTGACTTTGGCTCAATTAAATTTCTTATGAAAAACAACATTATCAACAACAATAAAAATACCATTTACAAAATATACATGTCTTATTTCTTTTCTTCCTCTTATAAGTGATGGAGATATATAGATGTTATTTATAATGTATAAAGGTGTTGTTTATGTCACCTCTACATCCTGAAGAAAAATATGGTATTTTAGAAGATACTTTATCTTTCACGTTGCCAGAAATGGCAAAATTAATAGTAAATAATAAAGATTTTGTGGTATTCTCATTTAGTGACATAATTATATTAGTTGTGTTACCACCCCCACGGCACTAGAGGCAGTAGCAGGCCCGAAAAGATGCGACTAAGAAGCAGATTTAGAAGTACACAGAAAGGTACAGAATTTGTTAAAAGCTGAGAGCTGCGCTGAAGTAAATAAAAAAGAGACGTTGAAAGACATGATGAGAATGAAACTCCTTCCTACAGATGAAGCTACATCACAGATTTCAAAAGAAAATTTAAACAGGAGAACGCTGATAATATAGGAAATAGCGCCCCCTTCACTTCCGGAGTGCAATGGTCCCATTTCCAGATAAGGTAAGAGATTGACAGTGGTCCGTCCCCGCCCCTTTCTGTTTGCTGTAGCGAGGTGTACTTGATTTGTGAGGCCAACCTAACAAGTTATAACGGCCAGACCTCATGTTTAAAAAGAAGCTGAAGTTTGTCACCTAATACATATGAGGTATGTGTCTTAACTTCACATTTTCTTTGAGAAAATAACATTGACTATGTTCTCTTTCTTTGTAATGTTACCTATGAGCAATTCAAGCTAATTGTAGCTGGCTGTAATTTAATGTTAGCTAAAGTTATTAAACTCCATTACTATAACGTTAGTTATAGAAGCAGATAAAGAAGCAGATAAAATCTTCCCCAAAATGACTTAGGTAAGTCATTTTTGTGTTACTATTTTCTCCAGGTGAAGGGAGGTGGGCGGGAACAGGTAAGTGGGGAAGGGGGACCAGGAATCAATGTCGACTTAATAAGTTACATTTTAGATAACTAACTGTTGTCAAATGTAAAACAGGTGTTTAATCTATTTATTTATTAATAAACTTCTTGCAAACATCCATAAGCCAGGAAATAATTTTGAATGCTCATTAACTGAAAAGGTACACTCATGTGTCTAAAACTGTACATTAAGTGATGCAATTTGAATAACAATAGTGGCGGTCTGTCTGAACTTCTGCCAAACAAATATTTTGCTCAGCTCTAGTTCTTATGCTAATTGTATTAAGAAATAATTGTAATGCACTTTATAACAACCAGTCATGTTAACTAGATATTTGTCTGCCAGTCTACCATTCTGACAGTGTGCAACAAGGGACATTTGTGGAATGGTATTTAAATAAATGCTGAATTAAGATCACGTTGTTGTTGTTTTTGTTGTTTATTTGTTTTTGTTCTTTTTTTACACCACAATGAACTGAGCCATCACCCACTATGAAAATGTCCAGGAGAGATTCACCGAGTTTGAATTCACGAAAAGGCTTTCACCATGATTATTATTGACCACAACTATTGCAAGAAAAGCTATAATTTCTGAGCATTTCTGAGCTGCTTCCAGGAAATGAAGACAAGAAGATCTCACTGTTTTCAGAGCGTTACAGGAATGCTTTAACAAAGGAGACGGCAGACTGTTGAAAGAACCTATTTTCTTAAGTTAAAGAATAAATAATTCTGTTTTAGTTTTTCAATCAGTGTTTCAGAGTTACAGACGATAAACCCTCTGTTTGAAGACTAAGTAATTGTTTTACTTTACTTGAGATAAGAGATAATATTAATGGCACTGTAATGACACTTAATGACATCTATATAACTGTTGTTACTTGTTTCACTTTACTTGAGGTAAAAGATATTAATGACACTGTAATAAAACTTAATGACATCTTCATAACTGGTCCTACTTGTTCCACTTGATGTAAAAGGAATTATTAATGACTGTTATTAAGTCATTTTGCAGTGTAATAAAGCTTAGTGAAATGTTTATTGTTGGTCCTACTTGGTTTGCTTTATTTCAGATAGGGGAAATATTAATTACTGTTTTGTTACCGTTTTGTTAGTGTAATTATACTTAATGACAATATTATGACTACTATTATGACATAATGATTCTTGGTTAATGTCAAGTTGTCATAACAAAGACATTTTTGTCTAAATTGTCAAGCTGTCATAAAGACATTTTTGTCTAGATTAATGTCAAGTTGTCATAACAAAGACATTTTGAATAATGTCAACTTTGTATTAAAAGTGTCATGATTTACCAAATGACACTTTATGACAACGGTCAAAGTGTCATGAAGACTTCCTCATGTTCATGACAGGTGTTATGTTGCGTTTATAACGGTGTTATGACAGTCTTATT